GGGGTCAAAAATGCCAGAAAAGTGCGTCACGTAATTTATGAACGCTCCCTAATCTTACAGTATACATTATCCGACGATTTTCAGTGGAAAGCACACCTCAATATCAATTTCGTTCAAAAGATACGGAAGTTCGAATAATATGTTGGCTTTCAGAGCCCCCAAATTTTGTGGGGGGTTTGAAAATGTTGGAAAAGAAGTGTTTAAGTTGATTCGTCAATCTCAAGTGACGTGTTCGAACTGGAATGCGATAAATCGCATCGTTAAAGTAAAAAAATCTCGGTAGATTTTGTATTTTCAGCAAACAGAGGACGGTAGCCCCTGCGTTTTGCCTGAAGAATCATTCTAAACCCAAAAATCGGCACAACTTAGAGAAATGAAAGCAGAACAGTGTTAGGAAAAAACCTCGCATTCGTTACAGCTATCGATTTCAGTATCGAATGCGAGGTTTTTTTCAAGGTCTGGTCAGGACCCGCGGAAAGGGAAGAGGGATATCTGGGAGCGATCCCCACCCCCGGTAATTTCGAAATCTCTGAGAATATATAATAGATGCAAATTCAAAATTCCAGGGCTTCTGAAAGCTGCAACTCGCCGTTTTCCTCACGAGGGAACGTAACTACATTTCAATGTTGCCAAATTTCTCCTCGGAAATTGCATTTTCATGAAGAGAATTTTTGACATTTCCAACTGAAAATTCTAATAGATAATTTTTCTTCTGATCTCATGCAAAAATCCGAAATATTTCGGATATAAATTCCGCAAATCCTTCATTGCAAAAATTTGAAACGTCTGAGTCAATTTTGCAACCTTGGAATGGAGTTACGTTCTTTCGTTCGGGAGACGACGAACCGTGACATCGGTATATAAGCTCTTGCCTGTAATCACCCCCCCCCCCCTTCATTGATGTGAATTGACGCGCTGGCCAGTAGACTGACTACTTTGCAGCGCTATCTTGATTTTTCCCGTGCATAATCCAATAATTTTATCACACAGTATGGATATAGAGCAAGGGAAAGGACGCGCGTTGATGACGGCGCAGAGATACAACTATTCGTACTTGATGGATGTCCGTGTTGTATCAGCAAAATTGAAGGCGCGATGGCGTGTGGTGGTGAACTTGTAATGCCATGCTGCCGATGAGATATCACTTATTGTTAGATTCAGGAGAATATTTAATCAACGAGGTCTGATTACGTCTTCGGCTGAGTTGGCACTCGATTTTTTTTCTTCCTAAATTTGATTCCCTCTTTAGGATGTACAGAGTGTCCCTGAACGCCCGCACCAGGCCTTTTTCTCGGTTGATTTAGGTCGGACGAAGTCGGAAATAATAATTCGAGTTTCAACTCAGCCGAAGACGTAATCAGGCTTCGTTGATTAAATATTCTCCAGAATCTGAGTGATATCTCATCGGCAGCATGTCATTACGAGTTCAACACATCACGCTATCGCGCCTTCAATCTAGCTGCTACGACACGGACATCCATCAAGCACGAATAGTTGTATCTCTGCGCCGTCATCAACGCGCGTCATTCTTTCTCTTGCTCTATTTCCATTCTGTGTGATAAATACTGTGTGATACTGTGGATTTTGATCTTGAACCCCAGCTTCTTGAAGTTTCGCAGAGAATATTTTGGTATCTTCGGGTACTTAAAGGCGCCGTATATCACACGACAGCGCGGTGCCTCATAGGAGTTATAGGTATCACACGAGGGGGAATTTTAACATCTGAAGGCGCATTTCTCCTTGCAGAATAAAATCATCCTACATAGGTAGGTGGTATAACATAATAGCCGTAATGATAAAAAACAAATGCTAGCATTTATTTCCTCACTTTGGATTCTTAAATAAATGCCCCCCCCCCTTCCTTTCGTTTCCATCTCTTCTTTTTTTCCCTCGATATTTCCTCCTTCTTTTCTCCGTTTTCCCCGCGTGTCTTTCTCCTCTCATCGCTTGTTTCTCTCCTCTTTTTCGTGTTCTCCCGCCTATTCTTTTCGTCTTCGCGGCGCCGTCATTTTGTCGGCACTTGGAGCAACTGCTCCTCTTGCCCATAGGACGCCACAGCCCTGTGTTTAAATAATGTAATGTGTTTATCAAGTAGTCAATAAACAACGCCAAGTAGCACATTCAGTTGGATGAGGGCTAAAATCTCGTTTTTGCAGCAGGCCCTTTTCACAAATACACGACATGCACATTGACTTATTATTAGCTCAGCCAAATTTTATTTGATAAAATGCACCGTTGTACCAAAATTATGTCGAGAATTTCAGCTTTCCTTCCATTTAACAATATTTCAAATCAGTTGCGTACTACCTGGCAAAATTACAGCATAGGTAAAAATACTTTTTGAACCACTTACGCAATAAACCACCGCGAGTAAAAAGTGGAAGATGTACTTAATACTCAGTGATGAACTATGTTCACAGGTTTAACTTCCTGAGAGTATGATATTAGTGTGAGCTTTTTAAAGGACCTGTACTGGAAACTGACTATTGAAATGGACTAAATTCTGTAAACCATTAACTCCAACAGTACAGAAAACGAAGGGACCATGTGCTTCCGAAAATCTGTAAAAATATCTGGCATCATCACTCAATGTAAGTTTTATTCATTTTTTTATTTTTTTTTGCTGATGTTTTAATGTTTTTGCCTCCATCCGAAAATTAGTCCTCTTAATCATTTGTTATTCGCCAGTTTGTATAAACATTAGTTTCTCCTAACCATTGCACTATAACTCTAATAAGATTTCTATTTTTGGAAGCTGCCAACTAAATCCTCACTTTTCGCCTCTTTTCATCAGAAACAAGTCTGCTCATTAGAATACGACGAACGCATTGAAAGTTTCCAAATTTAACTCATAAGTTAAAAAATATCCATTTATCCACATACGCAAATTCACACTTCCTGCTCATACAATACTTCGGGTCTGCTTGAATCAAATCGATCACCAAACCAATTTCGATATAATTTTCGGTAAAAAAAACCTCTACTGTGTATGTAAAAACTTTTTTGGACAAGCAAAGGTGTCTGGCATTATCTTGTCTCATGGTCTATTGACCTCTACTCAGGGGTGCAAAGTGTTCGAAGTCTCTGCAATTTTCTGCAACGCGCAACAGTTTCGCAAAAAGGTCAGCAGTTCAGCACAATGCGCTGATCAAAATTTTGCCAAATCTTTGGAACGTGCAAGGTTCTCGCTAAAAACAGGTCAACGCAACGCGCTGATTCAACCTGAAAACCGCCATAACCAAACCATACAAAAAAATCTTAGCCTCCGCAATTTGTCCGTGCGGTCGAGAAAGACTTCCACCCCTGCTTCCAACGACCACCCTCGATGACGACCGGGCGCTGTGCAACATATAATCGCCTTCCTTGTCAATCGAATCAGAAGTCGTTTGGTAAATCGCACCTTGGAATTTTATTTTGAATGACTCTCATTCATGATTTTGTTGGGCTACCCCTTCGTTTTCCTTCCTGGAGGAACTTGGTTTATTACCTGTCATCCGCCATTCGTTGAACATGACCGAACCCGACAAGCTGTTTGGTCATGAATTTATGTACGATGTCCTGCGCGGCGTTCATCATCTTAAGGTGAATCCAGGCTCAGAACTTCGAGATTTGGCCACCACGTCGCGCTGCTCAGAATAGCTGCATATATTTGCCAAAATAATAAAAACCGTATCACTTATTCAAGATTGGGGATCCAGGGAATATAGCAACATACTCGAGGAACACTCAGTAAAAAAATCTTCTCAAAATTCCCAAAAATAAAGTCGTAACTACGGCGGAAAGTAATTCCCATTGCTGCAATGGGAGAGAGAGAAGAATGAGGGAACATGAGGGATTCGGTTGCGCGCTCGGCCGCCACCTCTGAGCTGAAAGTTTCAGCCGTACTTTCCCTGTGCTTGTAATTCTAATTGCCAATATTTCTGGCTCAAAAAATCAAGCAAAAAATAATCTATGTCTTGTGGATCTGTTTTTTTGTAATTTGAGGAATATTATTTCAGTATTCGTCGAAGGAAAGTGAAATTCTCAGTGGCGACTGGTGACGCTATCTCTAATCTTGAATTATTCCTAATCGAACCCTGGATTCACCTTAAGCACTCATTCGTATCACGGGATTCCGACTGATTTTCGCCAGAAACACTGGCGGATCCAGAAAATCGGCAACATTGTTTTTCTCCATTTAAACCTATGGAAATGTATCGATTCTTGGAGGGGCCAGGCGCTCCGACAAGAATCGACCATTTAGCATAGGTTTAACAGGGTGTCTAGCATCTAGATTTTCCCTATTCTACCTGGATTTGAGGTCAATCAGGGTTTAATCCCGATTTCATCAGGATTTGAGGAAAAATCGGTCGTAAAATTAGGATTTGAAAAAAGTTAACTGTCCGATCGGATTTTTTATGCTTTCGCTTACGCTCGTGCAGAAATTTTAATTTTTCTCCGCAAAAAATCAGGATTTAGCAGTCAAAAATCAGGAAAAATTAGGATTTCCCGAAATGAAAAAAGAAACCAGACACCCTGTTTTATTGGAGGAAATCTGGTGTCGCCAAATTGCTGGATCCGCCTCTGACCAAAAATCCGTTTTAATTGTCCCCAGAATCTTATGGGTGCGATCTTCTATTGGCCATACTTTACTTACTGCCAATAGTCAGGATGCTTTTGTTTATAGGTATACGGAATTTTAAGTCGATCTCTTTTTCTCTTTGGAGGCACTCTGATCCCAAAGAATCTTATTTAACATATCAATAACTTTTCTTCCCTGCAGATGACGATCTTTAATGCCTCGGCCCATCATTCCATCCTGGATTACTTACGCGAACTCCGAGATATTTGTAATGTTTGCAGCTTTTGATCCATTCATTGCCGGATTTAGGTCTAGACCACCTATCGGCCCTGGTAAAAACTGGCGATAGGAGCTGCGTTTCAAAATACCATAGGAGTTCTTATAGCCGACTGAAGAATACGATAGAAAATCATATGTATAGCTGGCTGTAGAAAGTGGGAAAAATCATACGGCCGGGCTACACGAAGCGATAACAAATTATACAGCCGGGCTATAATTCCTATCGCCGGGTTTTACACTTTATCGCCTGCTGTTGCTTCTTCGCCATCGGCTATAAAAGGCTATAAGAAATTGTGTAGGAATTCGTGCTTCGTAAATCCTTAAGTTTGTACGAAATCACCTTAATATTTACAAAACGCACATTATAATCTCCTTTACTAGATATTCTTTTTCATCAATTAAAATGAGAATAATCCATACAGAGTGTGCAAACATTTCAAAGTCATGAGTTGAATGACGCTGACTCCACGAGATTAAATATTAGAGCCTAACACACAGCGGAGCGGCGACGCACTGGCGCCTACAAACCTAACAGGGATACTTCACGCATTGCGCGGCGGCGCACTGGCGCCTACAAACCTAACAGGGATACTTCACGCATCACGCAATGCGTAAAGTATCCCTGTTAGGTTTGTAGGCGCCAATGCGCGTTTCGCGCTGGCTGCCCGCCCGCCGCGCCGCAGCGTACCACGGCGCTTGAAGCAACTATTTCACACCAGAGGTATTGCACAGTATCGTACAAAATTGAAAGCGCTCCAACATATTAGGGATGACAGGCATCCTTCCAAAATACGGGGCTTTCCTCTCAAAATAAATCAAGATACTACAGCCCAAAAAGAAAGCAGTGGTCCAAAAACTCACTAAGTCCTAGCATCCGTAATTAGTGACGTTTAGCATACACTTTATCGCCTGGCTGTGAGTTGCTTAATCGCCATCGGCTATAAAAGGCTATAAGAAATTGTGTTGCCGGCTGTAGAAGCTATTGGAAATCTTACAGCCGGCTGTAGGTCTATGGTATTTTGGAACACAGATTCTACTGCCAATCTTTACCAGGGGGCCTTGGCCCAGTGCGGGAAGTTTCAAGGGGCGGAATTTAAAGAGAAAACGAAGCCACGGCGCCACCGCACGTATCCTGCTGCCGGAAAGGCGGCAAAAACAGCACAAATTATGTGATTTTTTTACTCAAATTAAATCGGCTCGTGCGAAAACCGCTAATGTCCATTTTTTTCAATTTTGAGATTTTTGTGTTTAAATACTCTCCGAGGTTGGACACACTCATCGGCGTGGTTAAAATGTTTGTTCTTCAGGTTTCAACCCCTTTTCTGGGGGGGGGGGGATTGAATTTCACAAAATTTTAAATTCATTGATCATTTTTTCGGAATCAATAGTTAAATCTTCGGAAGCCTCGAAGCGTTTCATATGGTCTTCTTGTTGGTGCGGTAGTGATTAGCTACCCCACTAAGGTGCTTTACACGAAGAGGAGCTTAGAGATAAAAACCCCAACCCAAGCTCAAAACCAAACGAAAAACATTTGCAACGCGTGAATGTTTTAGGCTTGGAGTGAAAAATTCCAAAATCGAGACTCACTTTTCCTTGGCGTTTGTTGGCCTCTCCAGTGCATCTCCCAAAGTTACAAAAAATTTCATGGAAATTTTCCAGCTCTGAGCACTCTAAGTTTCGCCACCCGCAAAATCTTAGGCATCGAACAGCATTATGGCCATTGGCCATGCACTGAAAAAAGCTACGGGCCATATCGACACACCATCCGTTCTGTGTTTAGAGGTCGAAAGTACCGGGTGCTGCGGGCCGATTGTTGAAATTGATAGACAAAGCTATAGACAAAGAAGACTTAGGGGGTATAAAGCAATCCTATTGGTTGAAATGGGTGGTTCTCATAGACTAAGGGGGAAAATGATAGACTAACTGTCGGGTCTCTAGTGCGTTGCCGTTAGTTAGTCTATTACCTACCTCCTTTGTCCATTGCAAGCACCCGCTTCTACCAATAGGATCCCTCTAAATCCTTTTTGTCTTCTTTGTCTATTGCTTTGTCTATCGATTCAATAATCAGCCTGTTGGAGCCGTAGTTTCGATTGCTCCGGGTGGCACGCCCGGAATGCGGACGGTATGTCCAAACAGCCCGTAAATACGGCCCTCACGGCCGGAGTTCTTTTTTCAGAGTGGGCACGATGCGAGGCACGCGCTCTGCCATGCTAAGCAAGAACGCCGTATGAGCCTTCAGGCGTTGCCAAATTTCCTCTCGCAAATCACTGATTTTCAGGAAAAATTTTGAATTTTTCCTGCCAATTTATCAGACAATTTTGTTTGTAATTTGATGTAAAGTGCCTGAAAATTCCAAGGCATAATACTCACAACTTTTCTCAAAAATAAACAATTTATCGACGGAAATATGGCAACTCTCGGATGTTCATACGGCGTTCTTCCTTATTAGCACGGTAGCGCACGGCACCGAAGCATGTGCGATCCTCCCGCCGTCATTGCTGAACCAACTCCCAGGAGTCCCAGGACTTATGAGAAAAAAAATTGATTATCAGACATACTTCAAGCGGGATTTTCAATTTATTCGGGTCAAATTTTTGTGTGGCTCTTTTCTTATTTATTTACACCCATTCACTTGAAATATGAATCCTCCAAACTCTTCAAATTGGTCGATATCCCAGCTATGTCACAATTAGTACGAAGAACCCTGAGCCGAAACGTTTAATGAGTTGTTACTACCGTTAGCGATTTAATAATTTGTTCGATGGACCACTAGACAAGGTACGAATATCAGCATTCTGATACATGATTCTCAACCAAAATTTAACGTAAAACTTGATACGCACAACGAAAATTACCGAAATTAACTCCTTACGAAGATATTTAATGATTCTGGATGCGTGAATTGAAACCACTCGCTCATGAAAACTCAATGCTCTACGTGATTCACATCGCGCGCTAAACGTTATCATGAACGTCTCAGCGATATAAAAATCTGGCAACCTCAGTCTTGACGCTTTGGCTCAGCTATAGCAAGTTGTTTATAGTTTTAGCAACACAGAGTGGGAAATGAACAGTGCTGGATTGAGAGGCCTGCGGAAACTGTTGTAGCACGCGATAGAACTCACGTAGAGTACTGAGTTTCTTGTGAGCAGACAATTCAACTTTCCCATAACCAATGTAAAATAAAAACGTTAATATCTTGGACCTGAAATGATTTCGGTAATTTTCGATGTAAGAATTGTGTTCTACATGAAATTTTGGTTAAGAATCATGTATTAGAATGCTTAAATTCGTACCCTGTCTAGTGGTCCATTCTGCAATATTTTTTTGCACAGTCACCTCTTTTTTGTAAGTGCGTTTTTTTCGTTCTTTTCTTTCGTAGAAACTTAATTCGAAACCAGCCTTCTGCTGTCCTAGTCCGAGTCAATTCAATGCGATGAACAACCTTGCCAAGTGTCCGATAATTCTTCTCGAAAGAATCAAAATCGAGCCTGAGCTAGATGGAGGGGAGGAACGGATTGTAATAAGTGATGGTGCAGCCAATTTAAAATCCACGAATCCGGTGGTCCATAGCGAGTCGAACCGGTCAGACCCGCGTGAAGAAGGTTCCAACCCAAGAAATGAATTTTCATACCGTCCCGAATTGAACTCCAGCTCACCAAGTGTCTCCTGCTGCAAAGAAGAAAATGTTATTTTCAGTTTAGTACCTCAAGTAAAGGAGGAGGAGGATAAAAATCCATGTCTGTTACTCGTTCCTCAGACTTTCTCTCGAGGAATTAAGGAGGAATTTCCTGAAGAAGAGAGGGATGAAACTAGCCCAGGAACTGAATTGGAAACTGCAGAGGACAATTACTCTGCTGCAATTAGTGAGGAATTTCCTGAAGAAGAGAGGTGTGGAATTAGCTCAGGGACTGAGTTGGAAACTGTAGAGGATGTCGAGGATGACCATCGGAATGGTCGTAGTTTTGCAGCGAACGAACTCGCCAAATCCGGAGGAAGTAAATCAGCGGAGCGTCAAAGCGATCCGGAAACAATCAGTAATGTAAAATCACGCTCCGTTCGTGTGCATTTGACGGACCTATTTTCTGATAAATTGAGGAAACTCGGCAAAGGACACGTCAATGATGGCCCATGTGTGTGTTTATATTGTAAAGGCGAATTTAGAGTTACGCCAGAATCCGAAGCAGCAACGCGCGTGGAGCCCTCCTCTAGTGTGTTTTCAAGTAGACCAAAAAGTAGGAATACTTCCGTAAAACGTTTTCAATGTGCCACGTGTTCGGATCGCTTCCGTAGAAAGACTGATTTAAGGATTCATTTCAGGAGCCAGAAGTGTGGTAAGCCATTCGAACCCCCGGAATGTACTATCTCCGCACCCAAGCGGGTCAAACTGAAATTGAAACCACTCGCTGCTCACTCGAAAGAACAGTCCTCTAGTTCAAAGGTAAAGTTTGAGTGTTCAATCTGTCATGTTACTTTTGCGTCGCATGACTCCATGATGAAGCATCTGGCGCAATCTCATAGTAATCGACAGAATGAGTGTGAGAAGTGTCACGCTAAATTTCGACAAGCTGGTAATTTGAGAAGACATCTCGCAACCGTCCACTCCGGAGAACGGCCATTCAGTTGTGATGTGTGCCCCAAGACGTTCAAAGAGAAATACCAACTGAAGAGTCACAAACTATTATTTCACACCGGCGAGATATTCAGATGTAAAGTGTGCTCTAAACCATTTCGAACGCAAGTCGCTTTGGAAGCTCACTCCAAAACACATCTAAGTATTAGATCTTATCAGTGTCAGTTTTGTCCGGCTTCATTTAAGGCTAGACCTCATTTAAAAAACCATGTGCGGCGACACACTGGAGAACGACCTTATGAGTGTGATATCTGCGATGCGAAATTCATACAAGCTGCTACGCTGTATCAGCACAAGTTGTCAAGACACGATACTGAAAAAAGATACAAGTGCAAGTTGTGTCCATCCGCATTTAGTCGTTCTGACTCCTTAGGGAGCCACATGAGAATCCATTCCTCAGATAAGGCGTTCCATTGCAATTTATGCGATGCCTCGTTTCGATACAACTCGAGCCTCCATTCCCATATGAAGGTCCACCACACTGATGAACGTCCTTTCAAGTGTGAGTTGTGTTCCTATGCGTTCAAAAGAAGACCCGAGCTTACGAAACACATGATAACACACAGCACAGAGAGGAAATACTCATGCGCTCATTGTCCTGCCAAATTCAAAACCAAATTAGCCGTAAGGCATCATTTGCTTGATCACACAAACGAAAAACCCTTCATATGTGACCAGTGCGGGAAAAACTTCAAACAGAAGTCACAACTTACAGTCCATTTGACTAGTCACTTGACTGAGAAACCTCATAAATGCAAGCACTGTCCAGCCAGCTTCAAGAGTAAGTACCATTTAAGGGGCCACATTAAGAGGCACTTCTTGCAGCACTCCAAGAAGTTCCAGTGCGACCATTGCCAGCGTGTGTTTGCATTGAAAATGTCGTTACGAACGCACATAGCCCTCGCGCATTCAGAGAAACGGAACTTCAAGTGTAAGCTCTGTCCGGCAACCTACAAATATGGATCTTCTTTGAAAATCCACCTTCGTTTACATACAGGTGAGCGACCGTATGAATGCAAGCACTGTGATGCAAGTTTTACACAACTTGAAAACCTAAAATCACATGTTGCGTCGCACCATTCAACTGAGAGACCATACGAGTGTGCCCATTGTTCAGCAACATTTTCAAGAAAGCCCCTATTAAAGACTCATATTCGAGTGCATAGTGGTGGCTCCAAGTTTAAATGTCCCAAGTGCCTGGCTTCATTTCGGAGTAACCATGCATTGAAGCTACATTTAAATCTTCATAAAAAGTGAAGACTTTTATATCGGAAATAAATGTATTTATAGTTTTCTTTTAGGCTACAGGTGAGAGTGCATTTACGCCTATTTTGGATACTTCGCCTATTTTGGATTAGGTACTCAGGTTCACCAGGATGCGTGACATTCGATAACTCTGGATTAAAGCCTGTGTCACTTTTTCGAAATACTCCCTCAAAATTTCAAGGTCAAGTGCTGTGATTGGTCCAAGTCATTGAATAAGCCAATCATAACACCGGACCTTGATATAGATAGTGTGACACAGGCTTTTCTCAGATTCCTCTTTTATCGCGAATTCAGCTGACGCCCTTTCAAGTTCTTTAGTGGATTGTTAAGTAGTTTTTTTTTTTTTTTTTTTTTTTTTTTTTTTTTTTTCCAAAAACTGCACCATCCAACCTTTTTGGGGGACCACACCATGCAGTTTTTTTGAGCAAGTTTTATCACGCAAAAGTTCTCATCATGTTTTGGTGATTTTTTAAGAAATCAAGTGTACCCCATCGTTAAAGCTCAAATGAGATGCGTTTCAGAATTTTCCTGGGAAGGGAGGCACTGAACTCCGGCAACAAAACGGTCCCAGAGGCTTCCTGAGACAGCTTCGTACAATCTTTGGAATCAGATACTCAGTAGTCAATTGAGGCAATTGGAAATTGCGAAATAATCCATGAAAGGAACTGAGAGGGTGACAACTAGATCCGGAAATTCAGAACCATCTATTTAAACATTTAATGAGCACTTCAAATCCCCGATCTCCCTCTTTTGGGAATAGAGAAGTTTTTAGTCGATACATGGAGGAATACCTATTGAAGATTTATCGCAATTGATTCGACTGCGACCAGTGGCGTGGCGTGCTTTGCGATACATCGATTGATACGCCATGATACGCCACTCAAACCTATGAAAAAAGATCGATTATCAGGGTGTTCGCAGCGAACACCTTAGAAATCGATTCTTTACCACAGCTTCAAATGGCGAGGTATCAGTAATCGATCATTTACGCCACGCCACTGACTGCGACCATTCTTCTCGCATAACTGGCTTGGTAAGGAAAAACGCAGTATGAATCTTCAGGTGTTGCGAAATTACCTTTGATAAAATACGAATTTCCAGATGAACTTTTGAATATGTTCCTTCCAATTTTTCAACAAACTTTGTTCGCAATTTCGTCTAAAGCTCCTGAAAATCTCAAGGAAAAATATTAATAACTTTCCTCAAAAATAAACATTTTATCGGAGGAAATTTGGCAACTCTAGAATGTTCATACGGCGTTCTTCCTTAGCACGGCAGATAAGGTGATACCGACGTTCCTTATACATTTAACTTCATTAAGGCTAATTTTCTTGCAGAATCCTATCAGTTCGTATTTAGCCCAAATCATATCACCATCACCGTTTGTTTTCTGTTGTGGTTCTTTACACTTTTTTTTTGATAAATCAGGTGGGTGGCAACTTTTTGCCATCCTTTTTAGTGTTAATTATTTTAGTTTAAATGCCAGAAAGTGTTCTCTTTCTTAATCTCTAGTACCCTAAATTTATATTGTTACAATTTCATATATTTATTCATTGTGAACGGGTAATTTTTTATCTTTCTTTTTTATGTTTTTGTTTAATATTCATTGTCAACACGTAGTTTTTATCTTTATTTTTAATTCTTTTGTTTTAATTTTTTTTTATTTTTCCTTTCATATCGTGTTGTGGATATCACATAGAGTACATAGAGTCGTAATGTGAATGGGAGAGCTGGCGCCGTGTCCTGGTCGACGAGTGCCGAGCCCGATGTGCGCCGAGCTTTGGTCACTTTTTCGATCCAAAATGGCGATGTTGAATACGTGGCAATTCCTATCATCTTTGTTTACATCAGATGACCTGGTCCCTGGGTTTCGAAAATAATCGATTATGTATCGAAAAAGTGACCCGACGTGACACAGGAGTCTCGGAACTCGGGACCAGAAAAATGCTTATAAGTGGCTCCGCGCCAGCTTTTCCATTTACATTACGACTCTATGTACTCCATGGGATATTGACGTTGATGTATTACTTTCTACGATCAAGGATGTAATGTTAGTATTACATTAATAGTAATGTTAGTATCCAACAATTTTTTGCCTGGAACATTGACGATTAAAAGTTAAAATGGCTTTCGCAAAGCCACGTTTTTTTTTTTTCATCGGTAAACTTTAAACTGCTATAAATGCCAGTTTGGTCGGATATTTTTGAACTTTCTTTGTCTGAAAATGTTTGTTGAACTCCTCTTTATGCTTTGGTGTAAATCACTCAATTTTTAGTTCTAGTTGACTAAGGTATTCCTGTCAAGAACAAACTCAGCAATGAAAAAGTTGTACAGTTGCAAGTGTGTATGGTTACACTGATTACTCAGAAAAATCTTCTGCATTCTGTGCATACATATTAGATTGAACTGGAACAGCTAGTAACTAATCCGTAGTATTAAAATAGAGTTTGGTTCCTTTTCATAATTTTATCTAATTTCATGTTTTTTCTCATTTTATGTTTGACCGAGTCTTCATATTTATTGAGATTGGTTCCTTTTCATAATTTTATCTAATTTCACGTTTTTTCTTATTCTATGTTTGATTGAGTCTTCATATTTATTACAGACCACTAAGTATAGTATTTTTCTGTGCTAAAGAGCTATTAGAAACTAATCTATTTCTGTACGTCATTACAAGTCGAACAAACTCAAGGGTATGGCAATACTGGAGCCATTTCATAATAGATTTCATACTTTTAGAGTTAAGCTTTTCCCAGGAATGGAAGTTAGTATACCTTTGGTGCCTGTAGATTTCTTTTTGCGGTATTTTAGCCCTTCTGGATCGCCAAAATCGGCATTAAAGGTCTTTTTTCTCCAATGAATTATTTTTTAGAAGAATATATTAACAAGTCCTTATCTGAAGTTCTTCGTCCAGGTTTCGGCCAGCATTACAAGTTGAAACTATTTATCTTTTAACGTTTTTACTAACTTTAACTTTTTTTAACCATTTAACTCTTAACTAGGTATTCGATTTTTTTTTCGTGTTAACATTTTTCATAGATGATGAAGAGGTTTTTACACACATATGACGCTCTTCTAAAGTTGGAGTAAGGAAAATCTCAGAATAATTTTATACCTAAACTGTGGTGTCATTTATTTATCTTGGTGATAAAACCGTGGTGATTCGATGGATTTTATAAATAAATCATTTAATTTTAACCATATGAGAAAGGTGTTCTATTTTTTTTATGTACCCCTATCCTCCTGTTTTTCTGCAAGATTAGCGTTTAGACTTAAATCGCTTTCAGTGTAGGTGAAGAATTAGGAATATTCGTATTGTTTTAGTTGGTTGACCCTCATAGAAGAGACCCTCGTACACAAGCCAACTAAGGTTGTACATGTCGCAGGCAATTAGCAATCGTCGGCAATTTGCAATCTATGCGTGTTGAATCAACAAATTAAACAAGGAGAAACATCCAACATGAATATGTTGGAAAAGCGTGCCGAACAACTGAAATTTCGGAGACATGAGCTTGAATGAATCGCTGAACCAAGAGCTAATAATATCAGCTGTTTTGATATGGCATTCTATCATGGAGTAATGCATAGGGCTCATGTTGTATAGTCAATGGGTACGAAGCACCCATTAAAGTGCGGCGGGAAAAAATATTCTAGATTCAAATCGCTCTAGCGTAAAAAAGGGTTTTTGAAGGATCTGTCAAATGAAATAAAACGGTTTTGACCGGAAAATGTTCTCAAGGGTTTCCAATCAGCAGTTCATTCAGTTTTTTGGTAAAAGACCATCAGGGCTTGGCAGTATAACGGTTCAAAGACAAAAAAACGGGTCCGAGGAAAAAATATTTGGACGGCCCGTTGAATAGCATTGGTTTATCGGTGTGCTGTACTATGGTACATCCAAGTGATTTCAAAAAGCGAGCCCTACTGGCACGCTTAAAAAATTTTGAAGTGAAAAAACGAGATAGGAAGTAGTGATTATCATGCTTTGAATTCAAACATCTATATTATACAGCTACAAGCAAAATCTTGAAAGCACTATTTCTGACGAACTGCCGGACCGATAAGGATGATCTTTACATGTATGTCATCTGTAGTAGATGTAGATGTGCAAAAAATTATGAAACCCCGAACTTTTAATGCTGTAGAGCTTTTAAAGCTCATGTCACTTGAGTCCAATGTTAATAGCGTGAGATATATGTCGTTTCCGCTAGAAACGTCGAGGTGTGGGATTCTACCTGAGTGACTCGAATAAACAATAAAACAATGGAAAAGCTCGTGAAGGGCTCCTCATTCGAAGAGTTGAGGAACGGTGCATCGCTCAGGGTTCAAGGTCCAAGGTATAAAGTTTAACTCAATTTTTCCTGTATTCTTCCGGCTTCGATTTGTGGCATTGGTCAATTTACTTGATTGCTGAATTTCTATTAATATTTACAGCAGATAAACAGCACATACAAAGTGAGAAGGCAGGCGCTGCGTCGCGTCGGGACGGGCCAAATATCGGCCGAACGGCTCTTAACGGTCGAAATCTGATTTTTTTTTTTTTTAAATTAAGTATTTAAAAATAACATAATAAATGGAAATCTCTCCAGTAAGTGGACTGTGAGATTATGTACATCCAGCTATTCCTCATCATTTACAAATCTGAGTGTTACGTCAAAAATTTTGAAATCGATGCAGCTCGAACACAAAATGGTGTATTAAAATGGAAGAACATACATTTGCCTATACATATGCGTAAAGGGCCCGCGAAGCGGGCCTGAGGGCGCGAGGCGCCCTCCCGGGGGTTGGGCCGCGTAGCGGTCAGGGGGCAGGGCCCCCTAGTACTTTATACCCTTCCTCTTGAATGTACGGTACCAGCTAGCACACTTTGGTTTGGTTAAGCAACTAAACTAGCTCCGCGGAAAAGCGGAGGGTATCGCTGGATTTGAAGGCGTTCCAAGCTGAGGTCGTCCCTTGAATTTCTTCGCTAAAGAAACTTTTACTATATCGATGTCAAAGTAATTGCAATTTGACGAATTGACAAGCTTGGAGCTTGCAAGTTGCCGGCGATTGCTGGCTGCCTGCGACATATAGAAAAATTATAGAGTGCCTGCAATGAGGTTGCTGCACGCAAGATACACAGCCAAGTAAATAGACCTTCACAGGTAACATCTCTCGATAATTTACGATAGACACATCTATCCAGTCTGGAATCTATTCCTTAGCGCGCAATCTACGGAATTTAATATACGCTCTCTCAAGTTTCCTGCGTCTGAGGGCAGTTTTTCCGAGTTTCCGACCAGGTTTGCACAGATAGAGGAGTAAAAATTTTAACCTGAATGAACAAACAATTTCACATTTCGCTAACTTTCCCTCGAGTTTGATTTCAACCCTTTCCAAGCGTTTGTTTCCTTTTTTCTTCATTTTGAAAAACAAAGCTTTGAATTAATGAAAATATCATTTGAGGAGAGTTTTCGAGATTGTTTGTTTATTTAGGTTATGTTTTCGCGCATCTCTCCCAGGGTGTACTCATCAAATTGACTTGAGCACCTAAACTTGCCTAACGGCCACTAAAGAGAACTGCCCGGAGACGTGGTAAATTTGAAAAAGCGCGTCGTGTTACAAACTACGCAAATTGCCCGCTAAGTGCCGCTTAGCGCTTTTTTTGGGGGCACAAATTGCACAAAAACTTTTTTCTTAACTTCTAGCTGCACCCATGCCTTTTTCCTCTTTCCTCTATCAATATTTTCTTTTCCTCTCTCCTCTTTTCTCAAGTGGAGGAGTATTTTAGGGCAGCACTCCCAAATTTTTTTTATCTCTTATTTTCGTTTTTCATAGTTTCCTCAGGGAACTGTTATTTTTTATCGTAGAAGGAGGGCTTACTCTGCTTTATCTGTAGATGTGAAGTGAATAATTAAGTATTTACCTTCTTGTTTTTTACACCTTCTTCTCTCTCTCGCGCTTTTATCGAGAACGCTCTCATATCTATCAGTTATCACTCAACACAGTGCACTATTTATATGAACATACAAAAACGTATGACATACTGGCATACCATACCTGTCACCTGTCAATCTGCCCAGTTGACAAGACTTTTCTCTTATTCAATGGTCTAGGTACACATCAACCAATCATTAAATTTAGGTGCATGGTTAACAAGGTTTTGTTTGGATGAATACAATTTTGAAAGAACCATTATGCATGAATTTTTGCAAAAACAAAGTACCCGCCAAAGAAGAACGAAAAAACAGTGCTTGGATCTCAATTTAGAGAATTGAACCAGTGAGATCGAAAACACACCAACTCGAAAAGATGAAAATAATTATGACACACATAAAACTGCGCAGTGGGCGAAGAAGTTAGTCTAAGAAAAATATTTTTGGTGCTGAAATACAAGCCCTTAAGGACACCCTAAAGGTCCAGATTGGAACAGATGCGCTAAATTCAATGACCTTCGTGAAAAATAACTGTCTCGAATGAAAATTGAGCATTTTCGAGTTACCGAGTTGGTGTATTTTCGTTCTCACTGATTCAATTGCAAGGGTGCTAAAATTGTTTCTAAAATACATTAAAACGTTAACTCAAGTGAAAGTGAACAGTGTACCAAGTTTGCTCATCTGATAACATAAATTGAAAAGGAGAACTCCCCCAGCTGTGAAAATTGAGGAAATTTCAGCATTGAACCTTGAATTTCCTTGGTTTGTTAATTCGTCTAGATGTTACTCCAATTTTAACTAATTGTGTCTCATGAGACGTATACTTATGCCTAAAATCCTTCTAGGAGAAGGAAAATATCAGAATATTTTACGTTCTACCACTTAACTGATTTGGCTTTTTTAAGCTAAAAGCTTAAGCTTTTAAAAGAAGAAAAAAGCGGAATAGGAACCCGAAACTGAATTTTGAAATTATTTTGGTTCTTCTCAACGGTTCGTCGAATTTTTTTCGGATTATAGACATTTTCGAACAAGAAGAATTTTCAAGGCTAATATGACCACCAACAAGAAGTAATATTCCGAAGAACTTTCTGTACCTTGGAGATGGCACGAAGTATTCAAATTCTCCCATCATGTTCGCGCAGTTCCTCTTTCACAAAATTCCAATCAGGAATAATGTTACATAGTTACTCTCATTCAAATACTCCTTATCTATGGGTTCATTGAACTTTTATACCGAACCGCTCGATGTTATCCAACAACTCTCAATCGAGTGAGATAGATCTTTTTCGAATTTGAAGTACAAAAGCACGTAACTAACGATATTTGCATTCATTCATAGACTTGTTTTATTATTTCCCCTTTGTCACTCTTAAACAGTACGCACCATGTATGTCATAAAACTATAGGGTTTCTCAAAAATCTAATCTTATCATCTGCCAAATGGAGAATCATTCCTGTTACGTAGCGCAAAAATGAATGACGCCATGGTTCTCGCGTTTTCGGGTGATGCAATTCATGAAAGCGATGACACCCATATGACACATCTCATTCTCATACCTCGGCTACCACGAGCAGAATCGAAAATAGAATCGGTGCAGTTCATCTAAATACGTTATAAAGAGCGAATTTTAAAATCTGTGGAAGTTATGTCCTTTGGTCGGGTTTATTTATCAAGAAGTGGCCATTTATTTCTTCTAGGTATAGTAATTTTTGGTCAACGAGCCTAAAGATTTAGAAATCGTGTGAAGTGGAATAACAATAGTATTTACTTCCACTAAACTGTCCTGCTAAATGCTGACCAGAAATCCCTTATGAACATATTCGGACGTCACCAAATGTTTCTCATGAATTAGTATCGTCTCAGGAAAACGAAATCCCCCCGCGCCTGATTTTGCGGGGAATTTGTCATCACTTTTCATCAAATCAGCTTGAACATTTCGAGGAAAGAGCTCGAAAGATATATTTTTTCACAAGACAGACAATATTGAAATTACAGAAAATGCGTAATACAGTTACTACTTTTTTTGCTACTTTTTTTTTATTTTTTTTTTAAAAAGAAAAAAAATTAAAAAGGAGAAGGCCAAGTCATTTTGCACATTCAAAAAAAGCTCCGACCGTGGAAGCCGTACGTACTTACGGGCTATACAAAACGTACGGCCTGCGCTCCGGGCTCAGAGGCCGAAAGTTTCGAGCGTAGCACCCGGAGCAATCGAAGCTACGGCTCCTGCACCCGGAAGTTTCGGTCTCTGAGCTTGGAACGGACTGTATGTCTATATATCCCGTAACTTTTTTTTTCAGTGCAGCAGGATGCCTATGAGTGCTCCAAGCCACAGGAAAAAATGCCTGTGGGAGTCTTCTACGGATGGCCTCTCATTGAAATGAAGACTTTTTCGAGGGGAAATTTTGAAGCCACGAAGAGGGGGCTCTTGATCCCGTATGCGCCCCTCCCCACTTAGCCACACCATTCTTCGCGCCACCACCTCCGTTTTTCAAGAAAAGAAGAATTTCAACAGCCGAACAGAGCGTTTTTTTAGTGTCTCCTCGTATTCTAACGTGCTAAGAAAAAACGCCGTGTGAACATTCGAGAGTTGCCAAATTTCCTTCGTTAAAATGTTTATGTTTGCGGAAATGTATGCATATTTCTCCTTGAAATTTTCAGATGTTTTAGATTAAATCTGAAACAAATTTGTTCGAAAAATTCGATGTAAAATATTCACAATTTTTCAAGTAAATTCGTTTTTTTTTCGAATCTGGCAACATCTGAAGGTTCCGGCGTTTCCCCTTAGCACGGCAGTATTGCATCAGACGAAGGGTCCAGTTCAAAAATAGCTCTTTTTTCTAGTCGGACCATGGCATGGCGTTGGGTAGCCGCTTTGCGTTTCGTGGGCCGCGCCACGCACCCCTATCACCGGCTATCGATCGGAGCCGGTTTGCACCGCGTGTGCTCGCTGCGAGTCGCGTGCAATCCTAACCTCTCTTCAGTTCAGTTCGCTTCGGTCTCCCGCTGCAGTCGCGTCGTCTCGCCCGTCCACGTTGCGTTCCGTTTACTCGTCCTCTCGATCCGCTTCTTTTTTCGGCGTCTGCTTCTTCCACTCGCGCGAATGGTTTCGACCCGGTGGGAAGGATTCGTGGCCCTCATGAACTCGCTAGGATTCCGCGACAGCTTCGCCGAGGACGTGCTCGCCGCCAAGATGATGACACAGTACTGCAACTTGGTCCACTATTTCAACACCATGAAGAACACCTCGTTATAGGGCCGAAAACACCACGACTCTCGTGTTTGTGAAGGATTTGCGTTCGATTTTGAGTTGCACGACTCGCGCTTTAGATTCAGCTCGTGTTTGTGAAGGATTCGCGTTCGATTTTGAGTTGCACGACTCGCGCTTTTGATTCAGCTCGTGTTTGTGAAGGGTTCGCGTTCGATTTTGAGCTGCACGACTTGCGTTTTTGATTCAGCTCGTGTTTGTGAAGGATTCGCGTTCGATTTTGAGCTGCACGACTTGCGTTTTTGATTCAGCTCGTGTTTGTGAAGGATACGCATTCGATTTTGAATTTCGCGCCGTTGAGTGTCGTCGATACCTTCGAAAGTGCGTTGTCGTAAAATTCTCCTAGAAAGTCTCGTTCCGAGTATGGCTCGAGCGTCTAACACTCGATGCTCGTGAAAAGTTTGTGTTGGATTTTGAATTTCGCGCCACGAGCTGCTGTCGATACCGCCGAAAGTGTGTCAATGAAAAACTATTGAAACGACAACCCGTGGGTTTGATCTGCTGGTGTTTGTGAAAGAAACACGCTCGATTTTGAACTTCGCGCCACTGAGAATCTTCGATACCATCGAAAAAGCGTCATCAATAAACTGATCGAAATAATCTCTCGATTTTCCCTGGTCGATCCCCGCATTGTTTGAATTGTGACTTTTCCAACGCACGAAGCTCGCGCTGAGTCAGCGTTTCCATAGTTTGCTGACGCCGTGAATTTCCCGAGCTCTTTGAATATTTTCATCGGAGAATTTGAACGCAGCCTCAAAGCAGAAAATATCTGCTTCGGTTATTGTTCTAACTTCAGCTGTTTATTGTGATTTATAATCCCTGCCGAAAAGATACTTCCAAGCTGAAAATTACGGTCGAACATATTCGCATATTTTAGCAACTTAGTTTCGAAATTAGTGCCAGCCTCCGGTATTCTCAACAATTTTCAACTCCTTCAATCGGGATAAACCATTGTGACTCGAAGAGTACAAGTGAAATTTCGGGGAGTGAAATGGAAATACAATACTTAAAATAACAGCGAAGCGATAGTGATAACAACCGTTATCTCGCATCTAAAAAAGTACCCTCTGTTTTATCTTTCATCATTCCATTTGTTGACAATTTTACGAGCAACTTTTAGGCACTACTTAAAACCTTAAAACTGCGCGAAAACCTGAGCTGTAATATCTCCAAGGAGGTTTTATTTAATTTTTCCCCACCTCGACGAACAGTGTCCATCTTCGTGTAAGAATTGATGTTTTGAAACGAATTATTACCGCTCAACAGGAGAAAAAAAGACACAATTCAGACAATCGTGCGTCCTTTCTTGCTGAGAAGAAACTTTCCCGTCAAACCTGCAAAGTTTTTTCGCGAGTTTACAGCGATTCTTCATTCACGACCCCTTTTGAAATTATTCAATTTTCCCCGAGTTGTAAATCATCCCACTTCCCGTTCCATCTTTAGTTCATAAACGTGTGTTCGCAACTTTGACGGCTATAAAAACACAAAATCGTGTGATAGTTGTTTATTTCCCACGGAATCCGCGCGGAGTGCGCGTCAAATCGCTCGCTCACGTCAGCTGCCGCGGCACCTGTTGCTCGCCCGACGGGGCCTTGACACGCGCGGTCCAGCGAGGCTGCGCCCGGCTCTGCCGCAACCCGCCATCTCGCGCCTGTCGCGGCTGCAACCCGCCTTCCCGCGCCCGACTCGGCTGCAACCCGGCAGTCCGCGATGACGTCCCGCAACGCGACGGACGTGAAGGCGAAGCTGCCCGTGGAGGTGGACGACGAGAAGGTCCAGCTGAAGCGGAAGATCACGCTGCCCAACGGAGTGGCCCTCATCGTCGGCACCATCATCGGCTCCGGCATCTTCGTGTCCCCCACCGGCGTCTTCCAAGTGAGTCGCGTTCCCACTCTCCCGCACTGAAAAAAAATCTCGGTGTATTTACTTAGAAAAGGGTGAAATTACCAAGAATTCAGGGTTCTATTTGATCCCAGTTTTTTCTTGGTAAAATTACCATTTATGGAATTCGTAATTTTACCGAGAAATCTCGGTAAAATTATTGACTTTCTCGGTACCCCGGTAAAAAATTCCAATATTTTTTATCGACCGTGGTAGAATAACCGAGATAAAATGGCAAAGTTACCGGGAATTGATTACCAATAAAAGTGGCATTCTTACCTGGAAAAAAACAGTAAAACTACCGGTTTTTAGGTAAGCTTACCAGTCTGTCCTGGTAAAATTACCAATAATTGGTACAAAAAAGTGAGCTGGTAAAGGTACCAACGGACCTTGGTAAAAACGCCGAGAATTTTTTTTCAGTGTGTGCTAAGGAAAAACGCCGTATGATCCTTCAGGCGTTGCCAAATTTCCTTTGATAAAACACAAATTTCCTGGTATGAATATTTTTCTCCCAATTTTTTCAGATGATTTTGTTTGCAATTTCACCCAAAGCTCCTGAAAATTTCAAAGAAAAATAATCTTAAATTTCCCTAAAAACAAGCATTTTATCGAAGGAAATTTAGCAACTCTCGAATGTTCATACGGCGTTCTTCCTTAGCACGGTCTAGCGCTGTTTTTTGAATGGGGCTCGCCAGACCGAGTCAACAGGAGAAGTCGGACGATGGAGAATTTGCATGCACATTTTTTATTGCTTCATCTGAAAGTGCTTAAAGAGCTGATTCTACAGTATTTTTTTTTTAAAAAAAAATTCTGATATGGGAAATAGTATGAAAACAGATTTAAACGTGAGAAAATTCACCGCCTTGTGATATCATCTGGTGGCATTTCTAATTTAAACACACGTATTTTAGCAGATTAGATGATTTTGTTATATCTTCTCCAATAATTGTTCAATTCATGAACCAAAGGTATCCTCGAGTTCAGTTCACTCAGTAGTTTCCACTTAAGCACGAAATTCATCAAATATCAGACACTTGCAAATTCTCCATTTCTGGAAACTTTGGTAGCTAATATTTTCGAAAATATGAAACGAAGAAGTTCACGAGTTTTTCTTTGGGTTTTTTCGTACAATTTACTTTCAGGAACTCTCTTTTAAATTGAATATAGTACTTGGCTGGTAATACTTTCACGCTTCGCGATTATGATGTGACTTCACGCGCAGAAAGCGTATTTTTGTGTGAGAAAATAGGCGAACTTCCGATTGATTCGATTTGATTATCATCATCTCGATTGTTCGATTTACGATCATTTGGTCAATGAAATAATTTTTCAACTCTACTTCGATACATCCGAGTCATCTGAATGGTGGGTTTATGAAGGGAAGACAGGAGAGGGGGTGGAGGAGGAGAGAAATGACACGAAAAATCATCCGCCCGACTGGATAATCCAAGTCGGGGTTGATAGACAAAGCTATAGACAATTAAGACATGAGTATAGAGCGATCCTATTGGTTGAAATGGGTGATTCTTATAGACTAAGGGGGTAAATGATGGACTAACTGTCGGGAGTGTCGGGTCTCTCGTGGGTTGCCGTTAGTTAGTCTATTACCCACCCCTTTTGTCCATTGCAACCATCCGCCTCCACCAAAAGGATCTCTCCGTAACTCTTTTGTCTTCTTTGTCTATAGCTGTGTCTAGCAATTTCAATAATCGGCCCGCTGGTGGTGGAAAAATTCCCCCGAGTCTTGCTTGTGACTTTCGAGTGAGTCACGAGACAACCTGTCTCGCAAATAAAGTCATGCAATAACAAATTCACGAAGCTCATCGGACAGAAAATCGATAGTTCCTGTAAATTATGCGCGCAACAGATGAGTCGCATTACTTACGTCCATACCTAAGCAGAGCCTTCTCATGGGCCTGGACTCTCGGACCGCGTTAAGCAGAAAAGGAACCAAGCCACATGAGCTATTGCCAGATTTAACTGGGTAATTACAAGAGACTGCTTGTGCAGATTCCTTTGAACATTTTCAAGAATTTGTTTCGTGCAATGAATAAAATTCACTGAAATGGACCACTAGACAAGGTACGAATTTCAGCATTCTGATACATGCTTTGTAACTAAAATTTCATGTAGAACACGATCCGCACATCAAAAATTACCACAATTAACACCTTGCGAAGATATTTAATGATTCCTGATGCGTGAATTCAAACCACCCGCTCATGAAAACTCAATGCTCTACGTGATTCACATCGCTCGTAAACGTTATCATGAACGTCTTTGCGATAAAAAAATCTGGCAACCTCAATCTTGACATTTTGGCTCAGCTATAGCAAATTACTTATAGTTTGAAAAACACATGGTGGGAAATGAACATTGTTCGATTGAGAATCTTGCTGAAACCGTTGTAGTGCGCGATTTGACTCACGTAGAGCTTTGAGTTTCTTGTGAGCGGGCAGTTCAAATTCCTCGTAACCAATGTGAAATACAAATGTTAATATCTCCGTTAGGAATTGGTTTCAGTAATTTTTGTTGCGCGAATCGTATTCTACGCAAAATTCTGATTAAGATACATGTATCAGAATGCTCAAATTCGTACCTTGTCTAGTGGTCCATTGCACCAGGTGCCGTCTATCTAATCATTATTTTCACCACGAAACATAATTCAATAAATAAGTAAATCAAATGAAACCCACCGAAGTTCGCTCGAAACTGAGGAGGGGTGTGATCTTTCGGGTCATCCGTGATTCAAAAAACGATAAAGTTGCGGGATTCTAACCTCCTCCTCCGTTTTCCCCAATTTCCGTGTGCTCGGCAACGTTGTGCAGGACCCCCTCCCCCTACCCACAAACAACTACGCTAACCCTGAATCCAGTGTTCTGCCTCCCCCCTAAAATTTTTGGAGCCACCCTGGCCGGAAAGCCCAATAATTTTTAGGAACATCTACTTTTTTCTAGGAACGAAATTAAAATTTTGCATACGGTCCATGGCGAATGAAATTTTTGCGGAAGGCATGAATGCGGAGTTGCAATGTATAAAAGGCCAAACGCTGTAGGATATTCTAAAAGCCCCAGTAAAAATCGGCAGTAGAATATGTGTTCCAAAATACCATAGACCTACAGCCGGCTGCAAGATTTCCAATAGCTTCTACGGCCGGCAACACAATTATTTATAGCTTTTTAAAGCCGATGGCGATTAAGCAACAGCCTGGCGATAAAGTGTATGCTGAACGTTACTAATTACGGATTTACTTAGTGAGTTTTTGGACTACCGCTCTCTTTTTGGGCCGCAGTATCCGATTTAATTTGCGAGGAAAGCTCCGTTCTTTTGAAGGATGCCTGACATTCCTAATATGTTGGCGCGCCTTCAATTTCGTATGATACTGTGCAATACCTCTGGTGGGAAATAGTTGCTTTAAGCGTCGCGGTACGCTGCGGCGCGCCGGGCGGGCAGCCAGCGCGAAACGCGCATTGGCGCCTACAAACCTAACAGGGATACTTCACGCATTGCGCAATTCGTGAAGTATCCCTGTTAGGTTTGTGGGCGCCGCTCCGCTTTGTGTTAGGCTGTAATATTTAATCTCGCGGAGTCAGCGTTTTTCAACTCACGACTTTGAAATGTTTGCACACTCGGTATGGATTATTCTCATTTTAATTGATGAATAAAAATACGTAGTAAAGTAAAATATAATGTGTGTTTTGTAAATATTAAGGTGATTCCGTACAAACTTAAGGATTTACAAAGCACAAGAATGTCTACTCAATTTCTTATAGCCTTTTATAGTCGATGATGATAAAGTGTAAAGCCCGGCGATAGGAACTATAGCCCGGCTGTATAATTTTTTATCGCTTCGTGTAGCCCGGCTGTATAATTTTTTATCGCTTCGTGTAGCTCGGCCGTATGATTTTTTCCACTTTCTACAGCCAGCTATATGATTTTCTACCGCCCTCTTCAGTCGGCCATAAGAACTCCTATGGTATTTTGAAACGCAGCTCCTATCGCCAATTTTTACCAGGGAGCACACGTGTCATGTCAGTTCAATCAGTCAAATTTTTAAGGCGCCACGATGGCCCAGCCCCTCCAATTTTTAGCCGCCAAGGCCCGATCTTTAGGCGCATTTGACGCATGGCGTTTGGGGAAGGCAGAACACTGCCTGAATCCCCCCTCGAAAAAACTAGATGGCCAAAGCGATTCTGGCGTATGAAGCGTCTGTCCCTTCTGAATGTCATTCACTCTTTGTGAAGATATCGCTTGTTATCAGAGCCATTTATATCTTCGTTTGAAAATTGAATGAAACTTGTCTACATACACTGGAAAAAAAAACACATTGGATCTAGAGTCCAGGCTCTTAAAAACATCGACAAGAAAAAGTTCTCTTGATTCAATCAGAATCTAGCTTAAATCAAGAACCAAGCCTCTTAATTTAAGCGGATTTCGTTTTGATTCAAGCAAAAATCCGATTGAATCAAGATTATTTTTTCTCGTCAATGTTTTCAAGAGTCTGGACTCTAGATCCAATGTGTTTTTTTTTTTTTCCAGTGTATACAATTATACATGGATCTCCAAAGCTAATTTTTGTTTCTACTCCTTGGTTTCGTGTGTTTCAGTATACCGGGTCAGTGGGCTCGTCGCTGGTGATCTGGACGCTATGCGGGATCTTCTCGACGATCGGGGCCCTGTGCTACGCGGAGCTCGGGACTTGCATCTCGCGTTCGGGCGGCGACTACGCCTACATCCTCGAGGCGTTCGGCCCGCTGCCGGCCTTCCTCCGCCTATGGTCGGCCCTCCTCATCATCCGGCCCACCACCCAGGCCATCGTCGCCATCACCTTCGCCCAGTACGCCGCCAAACCCTTCTTCCCAGGGGACTGCAAACCCCCGGAGCAGGCCGTCACCATCCTCGCTGCCGCCTGCCTTTGTAAGTTGACACCGTTTTCATTCCTTAAAAGGTGATTCGATAGACGCCATATCTTGTGTCAGAACGGCATGCGATGTATCGCATCAATTGGTCCCCTTTTTTTCAGCCACTCGTCATTTTTCTCCAATTTTGAGATCGAAATTCTATTGTCAGGAGACTAAAGCACTCACTTACCAATTTCAACAAAGAAATTCAACGTACTAAAGGCGTGGTTTTTTTAGAGAGGAAACATCGCATTCGATACTGATATCAAATCNTTCTGCACTTGAGTGCGATATTTTCTCTCTAAAAAAACCACGCCTTTATTACGTTGAATTTATTTGTTAAAATTGGTAAGCGAGTGCTTTAGTCTCCTGACAACAGAATTGCTATCGCAAAATTGGAAAAAAATGACGAGTAGCTGAACAAATGGAACCAATTGATGTGGTATATCGCATGCCGTTCTGACACAAAATATGGCGTCCATCAAATTACCTTAAGATTAACCCATCGAATGATCTGAACTCTTTGTCACCTGCATATGAGCCAGGGAATACCGGGAAAACTGGGAAATGTTAGGGAGGGTTAAAAACGTCAGGGATAACTGGGAAATGCCAGGAGAAACGACGAAAATGTCAGGGAAAATTTGTGAAATCACCTTCATTTGCTTTCTAGAATGGGTTTAAGATTTTTAACAAGAAATGCCTGAAAACTATTTTCAATTATGCCTTCTGAACCATCCGTCAAATCTTCAATTGTCAGGGAATTTCACCAAAATGTGTCAGGGAAATTAGGGACATGTCAGGGAATTTCATTTTCTAAATTCTGTGGCAACCCCGAAAACCTGGAAATGTTAGGGTGTCGTAAAAAGTCACTGAAAAACCTGGAAATGTGAGGGAAAAATCGTTAGGTCACCTTTATTTGCTTTCTCGAGTGGGTTTGACGTTTCGACCAATAAATTTTGCCTGAAGTCTATTTCTAAGTGAAAGTTCGCTAAGTCGAAATTTTTGTCGGCTTCTTCAAAATTTGATGCTGCATACATCACACACTATAGATTTAATGGTTAAAAATCGTTGCGACTTTGAATACCAACCTTTGACCATTTCCTCCAATCGAGGACCTAGAAAGCAAAACCTGGCAGAGCTCGATCCAACTTTCCTAGATCGCGCCGAGACTAAGTACCTTACCTCTTCTCTAGCACAATTTTTAACATTCTCTAATCAAATTTTCAGTGTTTCTTGACAGTTTCTCCTTGAAGAAAAGAGGAAGTACTAGAGAAAAATAAAAACACTCGCTGGTACAATCCGAAAACGTTGGTATGAAGTTTCGCTTTAGAGTTCCAACAGCGTCTTCTCTCGCCAACATTTCCGTAAAAAAAGCTGGCAGTTCGAGTTTAAGTGAATGCGAAACGGCTGTACCGTATAATTTCCAAGATATATGTATGAAGAACCGATAGAAACTTTAATTACCCGCCTGTAAGGCGTGTCACGCTTCATTCGGGTTCGCTTTGCGGCTCCACACACCACCCAAGTCCCAAGTCCGACTGCCGTGATAGCGAAGAGAGCAGTAAGTACATTCTCGTATGAGCCATGGTTTGCATTCGCTTTTATGCGTCTCGAGGTTCATCCCAGCGTGCACTTATTGCTCTCTTGGCTATCGCGGCAGCAGAGTGCCCTGAGAGCGACGCTCCAACCATGACCATTCTCACTCTTCGAGGTCTAAACCAGGGTCGCGCCACCGCTACTCGTCTCAGCCCGGTGCGGTGCGGTGTTGCTATCCGCACGCACTGTTTTAACTCGCGGTGTAACAAGAAGGGTACCTACAGTTATCGAGTTCCGATAGGACGAGGCTGCTCGAACGTCAACCAGTACTCGATGGTGATTGGATATGGAAGAGAGTCGGGAATGTGACGCAAGCTGGCACCCGAACGTGATTGGCTCTTCACGTAGTTGAACGACCTCGATAAAATTTTGGACGAGCATGCGTTCTTTTCGTACAACATGATTATAGCATTTGAAAACAGCGCGCTGCGGTCAGGAAGAGAAGGTCATCTACATCTACACTTATTGTTAGCACGAGCCCCCAACGATTTAAGAGGACTCCACTCCCGAAGATCATGTCGGAATGTAGAAGAATAGCCATCTTTCGTTTATTCAACTTAGTGCTGGAAATGGGATTGATGCTCTATTGAAAAATTCATTTCCTGACTACACTCCTTATTATAATGTACACTCAGAGCCCTCTTTATATTCCATTACGTAACATTTAAAAGCCCTTCCCCCCTGATGTGAGTTTTTTTTCCATAAAAATATTTTCACCCCTCATTGGCAAGAGGGTCATTGTTTTCACTAATTAGCTGGGGTTCTGTCTGTCCAGGCCTACTGACCTCCATCAACTGTCTTAGCGTGCGATGGTCCATGCAAGTTCAAAGCGTCTTCACCACCGCGAAACTCTTCGCCCTGGCTGCCATCGTTTTCTTCGGCGTCGGTCACATCCTGCTCGGTAAGTCGTTCTCTGGAACCGATTGATTTTGTAAAAGCTTTAATGGTGTCCGATTTTTTCTAAGGTTTGGTGGTTTATGGTTTAATTCGCCCTAAGTATGATCTTTATAACGGTTAATTTTTTAAGAAATATTTCAGTCGAAATAAATACATTTTTACTTCTCAACAACTTTTAGACAGGTCCAAAAATAGATTTACAAGTACCCGCAATTGACATAACTCTTAAAAAATCAATCCACTGGTATTGACGCATGCAGGTCGAGTATAATTGTGCTATTAAGTTCTGGTAAGTTGGTTTCTTAAGTGGCAGAATTAAGTTTTTCGAGTGCATTTCTGCAGCGAGTCTACCTCCAGATTGGATGTCATTTACGAGTGGATTCCATACTCAATGCGGCATCGTTACGAATAATGACTGTCTGCTGTGCCTTTTACAGTGAGGGATTCCAAAGTTCTTTTTCAGCGTTTCTTTGTATTTTGGGTTTTGACATAAATCCCGCGTAAACGTATTCGATCATCAGTCACGTGACATGATTTTGGAGGCTTCTGATCGTTGGAGAAGTAACGTCTTTTTCGGCCAATCAGAATGGAACTGCCACCGTCAATGCTTTGAATGGAATCAACAAAGTTTCCGCAGATTTGCGATGTAGCGAAGAACCATAATCATTCCCGCAGAATCTGCATACTATCTTCTTTTCAAGATATAAATTTGACGAATCGTTCAAATAAAAGTAGACTACAACAGGACGCAAAACTTTTGAAACCGTGGTCCGAGTCGTGTCGTAGAGCGTTGTTCGCCTTCTTTCGACCGGTTAGGCAAAAGCAGCTCCCACGCGTTCATATAGTTGCATCTCCAGATACGGACAGTTATTCTCAAATCAGCACATGCTTTTTTCGTTCGCGTTGCAAGTTTACGCGGTTATCTGTTCATTAATGTGGGCCTTTATGATTGAAAATGTCGTAAGAGTCAGATATTTTCGATTCAAATCCTTGGCTTCTTAAAATTTTTCTTAAGATTCCATGTTTCGTCACTAGTTTTGTCTAAAATTAACTCCCGAGTGCCTAAAAAGCATTCACGCTAGAAGCTGGAATGCAGTGGTCCCACGCAAGATTATTTCTACAGGGTGATGAATTTTTTTTAAAAATCGGCAAATTTTCATTTAACGTTGAGAAGTTAGGATTAAAATTGTAAAGTCGCTCCAATTGCATCTAAGTGTGCTTTAACGGCAGAGATTGCGATTTTCGTAATAGATGTATTAAGCGTCTCATAAGAAGTCTCATTCCAATCATAGTTGAAAAGTACGGAAATTTTAAAATTCAAGTACACTGCCACCCCGTAAATGTAAGTCCGTTCCCGCTTTTAGTCAAATTCTCCATGCGTAGACGGAGCAGAGCCCAGGTATATAACTTCAGTAATGATTCTCGGTTGACGCCTAGCAACTTCGCACAAAGTAGCAACTTTTTTCACGTTTCAGCAGCTGAAGTTAGACCCCCTAAGTAGCTCCTTTGGAAAATCCGACCAATGTGTGTAAAGGATGGCCCTCCGATCATGATCGTTTACCCTATTCTGTACCATTCTTGCAAATTCTACCGGAGAGCTTTTTCTTGAGCTTATTTGAAGTTGATTTCAGACGAAACCGAGTTTTCACTCTGAAGAAGATGGTTAAATTGCCAATTAATACATTTTTCGACGGGGGGTTGTCTTGAAGAAAACCTAAAATTGAATTTAAAAAAGAAAGAAAAAAAAGAAAACTTATTTGAAATGTCAAAACTCCGTATCTCCAGAGCTCCCATCTATTTTTTCTTGACGAATTGAAGACATATTCCTGCTATTGCCCTTGAACATCACCATCCTAATTTTAAAGTATCTAGCATGTTATCGTGATAAGAAGTGTCAAGCGTGCCTTTCTTTCTGGGGAGAACGATGTTGCCGCAGAAATTTTTCTAAGCTTGCTATCTTTTTATGCTCTGGATTTACCTCCAATTAAGTACAAACTATCAATTTCTGGATCGACAGCATTGTAAAAATTCAGCGTGTGCGTTCCTCGCAAAAAGAGTTACCCCATTCCTACGCCCTTTTCTCGAGAAATACCTCAACCCCGCCGTGCCAAGGAAGAACACTGTATGAACATTCGAGAGATGCCAAATTTCCCTTGATAACACTTGTACTTTTTGACGACATTCATGCGTATTTTTCCTTGAAATTTCCAGAAACTCTAGATTAAATTGCGTTCAAAATTGTCTGAACATTTTTGAAAAAAATATTCAAAATTCTACCAGGAAATTCGGGTTTTTTCGAAGGAAACTTGGCAACGTCTCAAGACTCATACGGCGTCTTTCCTTAGCACGGCAGAACTATCCTACGCTTACTCCCGCAGGAACCTTAACAAGGGTGAAAGTTCTGCGTTGAGGAGAATTCATATACGCGCACGGATTGAGCCTCCGTTGCGACTTGCGAGCCACGCAAACGCGCGGTGCGAGGTGAATGAGCCGGCCGGAGTCTGGCTACCTACCTGGGTAGTCGGTGTAATTATTTTCTCGGCACCGACCTTGATTAATTAACCATGTCCGATTGACTGATTGTCTCAAGAATCCGCACGTTGCCGGTGGAAGCGGCCTTCCGCACCGGTTAAAAAAACCTCTTGGACCAATGCCGCGGTGCATCGACTTAAGAGTGCAGTTTCTTGTCGCCGGATTTAAGAGTCTTGAATTCTTGTTTCAAGCGGATTTTGCATTGATTCAATTTAAAATCCGCTTGAAACAAGAGTCCAGACTCTTAAATCCGGCGACAAGAAACTGCACTCTTGAACCAAGAGGTTTTTTTCACCAGTGCGCGAATCGTGAATCTTGCTGTTCAATGATGGTGCAGTTTCGCTGCGCTTGAATCGCTAATTTTAAAACAGCTCATAACTTTAATTCTGTCCTGCTAAGGAAAAACGCCGTATGAACATTCGGGAGTTGCCAGATTTCTCCGTATAAAACTCGTATTTTCAAGGAAAGTTACGCTTATTTCTCCTTGAAATTTTCAGATATATTAGATTGAATTGCGAGCAAAATTATCGGAAAATTTTAATGAAAAATGTTCACAATTTTCCCGATAAATTCGGTTTTTATCGAAGGAAATTTGGCAACGTCTGAAAGTACGTACGGCGTTCTTCCTTAGCACGACAGTGGCATTTGAGGAGAGAGGAGGATGGGAAAAGAAAAGTTTGAAGTCTCGAAATTTGAGAAGTCATGTTCCGAGAATCCAGCCGCTTTCGCAGAAAGCACGGCCCTCCTCGCAATTTTTAAAGGTGTTTACCCCCAGAACCTAAATTTTCAACCCTTTTCCTTCTCTACTTCTCTCTTACCCTGTTTATTCTCTCTTTATTCCTATCGGGCCGACCCACCGGGAAAAGTCCCGGTAGAGATATCTGGCCAGCGTGCTGATCGTTGATATTGGCAGACAAAACCGTAGACGAAGATGATAAAAGGATATAGAGGGATCCTACTGGTTGAAGCGAGTGGTTGCAATGTTCAAAAAAGGTAGTTACTGGACTAACTAACGGAAACCCACGCGAGACCCTTAAGTTAGTCCATCATTTTCTCCCTTAGTCCATAAGAACCACCCATTTCGAACAATAGGATTGCTCCATACTTCTTATGTTTTCTTTGTCTATAGCTTTGTCTATCAGTTTCAAAAATCAGACCGCAGTTTTGGCTTGAACTTGAGGCTCTTGGGCGTTTGCTTCAGTCTGTGCCCTTTTAGCTCTTCCCATGAAGTTTTACCCGCATGCTACGCTACGCTGGAGCTTAGGAATCTCGATTTGCATACGTACGAATGGGCGGCTTGTCTCAATACTGCCGTGCTGAGGAAAACGCCGTGTGATCATTCGAGAGTTGCCAAATTTCCCTCGATAAAACATGTATTTTTGACGAAAATCATGCACATTTTTCTTTGAAATTTTCAGATATTTTAGATTAAATTGCGTACAACATAGCCTGGAAATTTTGGTTAAAAATATTCACGATTTTCCCAGTAAATTCGGGTTTTATCAGAGGAAAATTGGCAACGTCTGAAGGCCCATACGACGTTTTTCCTTAGCACGGCAGAGATAGCCAACGTGCGGATTCCCAGGTCGGCTCCTTCTGGTCACGGGTCGGCAGACCCGTTTGCTTATCGGCCGGACGCACGGCCCACGAAGAAAGCGAAGGGAGAGAAGCCAGAAAAGCGGCCCTAGATTCCGGCCGCGACAGGAGACAAGTTGTTGATGAGTGGTCCTACCGCACTCATGACCGTCA